AGAATAATTATAAGCTCTGTTCTGAAGGCTTTTGGAATTGGGCCTGGATTGTTAGAAAATGTCTTAGCACTTTGTTTCTTTGGAGAATCAGATAATGTAATGAGAATATTAATCTTTTATAAAACTTAAACTTGGGTAACAGTTTAGCTTTTCACTGCTTTTTTTAATTGATAACAATCTGGTGAAATAAGCCACATACTATTATCCTTAGTTTTGAGAGAACTAAACCAAAGCCTCTTGGGATAGAGATAAAAGTAACAGTTACCTTAGGTTTATCCTATAGACTAGCTTTTAATTTTATTAAATTGTGATGTTATTTTCATCCGAGGTCAATGTTATTTTAGTGTCCCAGACCTCAGTTTGGGAATAATCCAACTTCTAGCTAGATTTTGACTTTTACAATAAAGGAATCACAAACTATTGTACTTTATTAAGTGGATCTTTTGAAAATGCTGCCTCCCTATGGGAAGGGGAGATTTAAAGCAGCTGTCCCGTTTGCAATATTTTCCTCATTGGTGTTTATTAAATAAAATAAACAAATGAAACTAGGTGATACAGTAGTAAAACTCTTACCAGCAGATATTCAGAACAACTGACCAGACAAAATCGAATTTTGGGAGAAGAACTTTCCAAAGTCCTGGGTCTTAAGGGCTTATGCCCCTATTCATGGTGCTTTAACAAATAATGTTTTTATTTTTGCATTTATTGAATAAGGTTTTCTGTTCCTAGTTTTAGAAATAAACAAGTAGAACATTTATGAGTTTTTCCATTTAAAAAATAAACAAAAAAAGCTATTCTTTTATTCTCAATTTTTTAAATAGGGGCCCAAGTACCTCTCAAAAGATTAACAGTTTCTCACTTGATTTTAACCTTTGGGAAACCAGAATCGACTCTGAAGATAGCTATAATTTTTACCTATAAATGGATTTTTTTCCTTATTCAAGTATTTGGCGTGTTTAGTATTTACTGTTATAATTATTAGATAGTGATCTTCAAAATATATTGCTGGCTTAATGCCATATTTATCTCTTAAATTATCAATGGCTATGTACATATAATAAATAACATGAATGATGTAGCCTTGTATGATTAAATAGTTAAAATTATACAGTTTGTTAAAAGGAGAAAAAAGTAATGTTTATTACATTGCTTTTTTTCACATAGATCATTCTGTCTTTATCACATCTTTTTTGGATTAAGTGGTAATAGTCTATTTTTTCTCTTTTTGACTTCTTGAATTTCATCCCAAGTCTGACTTCAAAGTCCATCTTCTTTCTCACTCTGCTGTACTGCAGAGAAATGGAGAGAATGTGAAACTGAATATGTAGTTGCATATACTGGCATAAAACTGGTTATCATCCATTGTTTCTTCCCTATACTTTTTTTTTCAGAATCCAGATTATCTTCAGTATTCTATCAATACAGCTCTCTGCAGTTTAAACTCAGTGGTACATAAAGAAGATGATGAACCCAAAATGATGGACACTGTATAATTTGGTTAAGACTGCTGAGGCCAAGTGCTATTTTGTTACAAGAAAGGAAGAACTTGGCTATTTTCTTGACACTTTTATGGGTGCTGCACTTTATTTTTGTTCAGTTTTTGATGGGAGGGAAAAAAGAGTACTGAAACGTTTTGTAACATTTTTTTTTTTATGTGCTGCTAGGTTTTTTTGTTTTGTTTTGTTTTTCCTGGAGAGAGGAGTGGTACCGTATGTTGCAGGAAGTCAAACTGGACTTTTTTTTTTTTTTGCGCTACTAAATTTGCCTTTAATCTTATTGTTCTCAATTTTGGAATCAAAGTATGAAAATCTGCACAAATGTAATGTTTACAAGAACTGGTTGATTCTAGGAGGCATCTGCTACAGTCTCTTTTTATATGGATATGTACATGTCCTATTCTATAAAAATGATTAAAGATAAAAAATGTACTTGTATCCTACTGCTAATTTAGCTGTCAGATCTCGTGTTTCATCATATTAAAAGCAATAAATCAGTAGTTGATAATCTACTAAATAAGCTGGGTGGTACAAATGAAAACAAAGTCTTTCCCCTTAAAATAATATTATGTTTGTATTTTCGGCACCATCAGTTAAATCCTTGACTAATATCTATTTTATATAAACACTAAATTTATTCCGTTAAGTATTCTCAAAACTATATTCCTTAGAAGTTGATTTTACTCTGTTGACTTTTTAATATTAAGCATTGTAGTGATATAAAAAGTGATAAAGCTAATATTTTTTTTAATAAGATCAACTTCAAGCTCACTCTTAATTTCTGTACTTGACATAGTCTGGGATCTCTCAGGGAGCAAGTTTTAAAAGAATACTAATGGCCTGTAAGAACAAACAGGAAGAAGAATCTGACTTTTTAAATTATGGTTATTGTTTGTTTCACTCTAGTGTAGCCCAAGGACTTTTTTAAAAAGCAAGAGAAATCTTGTAGAGCTAACTGCCTTGACCTGGCAACTACTTATTTCTAAGAACTTAGTGATCGTTATCGGTAATGATGGCTTTTACTACATTTGTCATTCCTCTCATTAGCTCAGTTACCATAGAATGCTTCTTAGCTTTACTACGTCCTATATAATTCACTTCAAATATGCCATGATATTTGATGATTCATTTTATTTGGAGTTAGATGACAGTGCTAATTATGCTATCCTTATTATGTGAGGATTAATCTTCTGATGTATAGGAACATGAACTTTGATTTGTATTGCGTGTAGTCTTTGGTTCAGTCCCATTGAGACTAGTAGCAAACATTTGGAAATGGCTTGCTGGGATTGGGAATACATTCCTCAATTTCAGAAACCGAATAATGCTAAGGGACCCATATGGTGATCAGACCTGTGACCTTGGCCTCATTTGCACCTTGTCTTAACTGAGGTGATAAGGCACTCACTACCCATAGAAATGGACTGGAATTACTGAATCATACTTCTGTAACATCACAATCTTCCTGGTTTTCAGAATAAAACTCTTTGTGCTTTTGATATAAATATATACTCTATAATAAAATATTTGACTAATTTATATGGTAGTATTCATCAGCCTGTATTTTTTTTTTTTTTTTACCGATGACCTAGTTATAGAAGTTTTTTTCTCTTTTAGCAAGCTCTTGTTTTTCCCTTCCTATGAGATAGGGAATGGACACAGGAGTAAAATCCCGTTTCACAGAAATGTTACTTGAACCATTACTTCCATTCCTCGACTTCACTTTTCGCCAGGATTTGCCTCTTAAGCATCCAAATTGTTTTGAATGTCATTTTACCTTCTATAAGATAGAGGTATTAATGACTGAAGACTAGAAGGAGAGAAATTATCAACGAACTGACTGTTCTGAAGGGTTTTTTGGTTTTTGTTTTCTAAAACAGGAAGTATTCAAGAGCTATTTAAATTTTGGCTATGTCTGCTTTTTAACTTTGAAAAGGAAGTGTTCTATGTTTTGATTGTGAAAATGTGATTGGATTTATTTTGGGAACCAGTGACTGATGCCAGAATTTACACTTAAAGACTATGACTGTTACGTATTTAGCAGTACTTTAGTATTAAGAACAGTAAATTGACATCCTTTTTATTTTGTTTTATTTTGCTGCAGTACTAAGAACTAACTCCTCTTAAGAGAAATGTTCTCTTTTCTGTTTCTTAAGAAATAATAAGAGCATACTAAGCAAAGGGACAATTCATATTTCACGTTGGACAATTTTCTCTAAACAAACTATGGAAAGTCCAAACAGATGAATGAAACATCTTTGACATCAAAGTACCCATCAAAGATTTTTGTTTCATTTGGTAAAATTAATCTTCTAATAAAAGATTTTTTTAAAACCAAATAGTTATCACTCTATTTATTCCCTATTAACTCAGTGTCATTTTATCAATGGTGGTGGAGATAATACTGATTGGCAATTATTCTCTAGGAGAGACAGATTAGTAACGTTCTCATCCAGTTAGACCATCAGTTGGCTCTTTCAAATCTTGCATAATAAGCTCACAATCTCCTACAGCTTCTCTTTAGGAAAACTGGCTCTTCATTCAGACTAGTATTCCTATTAAAGTGAATTAACATGTTGCCCAAAGAACAAGAATTTAGTAAGTAGTCTTTCTTACAGGATGAAAAATGTGATTGCGGGTTTAGGCAAAGTGATCTTGAAGTTAACCTTGAGGTATTTTCAGAAAAAATAAAAAGATGTCAATGTACTGTCCTCAGAGTCAGTCGTGTATTTCAGTTCTTAAATTGATGTGGGACAGAAATGTACTTGTCTGTGTTGAGGTCAGGCTTTTCATTTCCATTTTGCGACTATAGCATATAGTTTTAATAAGTTCTAAAATTCTATGCATCCATTTCCCATCTGTAACAGACATGAATGTACTATTTCACAGGTCTTCTGAGAAGCTGATTCATCTAATAAGTTTTTCCTTGCTTACTATGTAAGCTCATGGAGGGGAGGGGATACAAAGAAGAATAAAAGTTGATTATAAATTGCTTACCATCTAATAATGAAGTCAAAACCATTCTCATAAGCCTTGAAGAATTAGACATGAAGTTTAATCTTTTCTAAATATGAAAATGATAAAAATACATCTTTCAACCTGTTTCTTTAGACAGCATGCTTCTGCATGCTGTTTACTCTTTTAAACACTTTAAATTTAGAGTCCTTTGGTTAAGTGTGACACATTACCAGATTGATTTACACTGTGGCGAAATCCTTCCAAAGTGCAATCTGGCACGACAGTTTAACTTCACTCACTGCTGTATATATAGAAGACACGTGAACGTTAAAGAAACGCAGGAAGAGGGGTATGAACTCTACAAAGCACACTGGCTTTTACCAGAATCTTAAAGCACAGGGAGACTAGTTTGACTGTGTTTTAAAATTTTTAAACTGTATCCTCCGAAGTCAAAATCTTGAATTAGAAAGCTAAGAAAGCTATTTCTGCGGTTTACCAGTGTCTGGGAATATTTTCTTTTGTCACTGAGAAGACACCTTATAAACATGTTTTAAAATAGAAATTTATTTTTGCTGTTGGTTGCAAGTATTACAACAATTTAATCTGAGGTTTGTAATGACCATGATTTGTTGTTAACATAGGTAAGTTTGTCAGAATCTATGAGTGTCCAAAATATTTTATTTTGCTAGAATGCCATTGTAAATAGCTGAGGGGGAAGTAGCTATGGGATGGGGTTTAGAAATTTGAGCTGGTATTTAACCTATTTCAAATGTAATTGAGAAATAAAATTTCTGGATGGTACTGCCACTTTGTATTTCCCACAGCACACAATGCTTATGAAAGGTGTACCAAAATAACTATGGCACTCCAGAAAATAGGGTAATGAGTTGATGTACTGTTCTCATTATCCTTTAACTAAGGCCTAGTAACTTCTAGCCATGGCATTCAGCTCCAGACATATTTCCGTGTGGCACATAAATCATAACGATGGTCGCTGCAGCATTTTTATGGTTTTTAGCAGGATGTACTCCTCAGCAATGAGATTGTTCATCAGAGCTGTCTGTGACATCAACTCAGCATGAAACAAATTTTTTTTGTTTGCTTTAATAAAGAAAAAAGTAATAGTGCAGGTGTTTCCCAAAGTAATGGATGCAAGTACAAAACTTTGGGTTAAGTGTTTTGGGTGTGGGGAGAAAATGGTCACAGGAAAGAAGTCTTGAGTCTTCATAGCCATGTTCTTCTACCCCTCTTTTTAATTTCCAAATCTCTTAAGGGTGTCAAGAGGGCCAGTGTGATTGCAACTATAGCAGGAGATAAAGGACAGTGTAAAATGAAACCAGCCTGTGTACTGTTTCAAGACAACTATTAGAAAGCAGTCACTAATTCAGAAGCCAGTGAGACATCCGGGCAGTAGAATAGAAGGTGGGATGGAGTGAGCCCTGTGAAGTACCAAGGACAAAGTAACATCCACAGTTCAAAAATTTAATTTTATTCTATTAATTCTAATGTATGCCAATAACCTAGTGATAATTCATAAATTTAGTGGTTAACCCAGTGATAATTCATAAATTTAGTAGCTCACAAAGTTTTTAGAAAGCACATAATATTAACATTCCAATAAAACATAGGAAGTTTTGTAAAGAATGAAATGTTTACTATAATCTTTTTTTTTAAAGCCGTGATCCCCTCTGGGAGATCAACAGTGATTTTTAAAAAATCAAAAGAAAATAAGTTTTTTCCCCACAAATACATAAGAACCACTTGCTGGCAATTGTATTTTAAGTGCCTGAAATAAAATGAGCCAAATTTTCAAAGGCAGTTAATGACAGCTTGTATAAGGACTTGTTTCATTTGATTTAGCACCAAGTAAAATTAAGAGTAAGTATGCCATTGAAGATAAATGAGGTTTCTCCCCCACTTCTCATACTGCCTCACTCTTCCTTCCAGGCCACAGTACGTACACATACATCCTTATTGCCCCACTAAGGAATCAAATCATTTTGATTTTAAAATGGCTGCTCAGATTACATTCACCAGCAGAGTTCTTTGCCTTTAAGCTGGGATGGCAGTGAGTGCTAGCAGGTGTCAACTTTGATTCGGAATAAAGAACTCCTTCAGCAAATTCAGTCTCCTAGTCTTTTTTAACCTGTCATAGAAACCCTTTTAATTGCTACACCTGTTTACTAGTTATGATTGTTATTTATGTCAAAGGAATTTTCCCCAGACAAACCTGATTTATTTCTATTTCCTAATGACACAGTTGAGCTTACCTAGTGCTATGGGTCTTCCTTCTTTTTTTTTTTGTACTTTAATTTGTTACTCATCAAGGCAGATCATACATTTTGATCAAAAAGAGAAACTGGCAAGTCGAACCTAGAGCATGCATTTCTTACCCTGAGTAACATCTGAGAAAATAAGACTTTAATTATATTTTCCATTGAAAATTCAATTTTGGTGCTTTTGCAAGAACTTATAATGTCAGTTTCTAACATAAATCATATCCCTCAGTACACATGTATTTCCAAAAGAAAACAAGTCATAACAATAACTAATAACAGGAAACAAATATTTTCCTGTATACTAACTCATAGATTTTTATGGTGAATTGAAAATTCTGAGTAAACTGAAGGTATGTTTAACAAAATAAATACAGCATATATGGCTAGCTTGTAAGTTTCTTAGTGTAAAGGCAGCAGTGAATTTGCATCCTGCAACTGATGTGTAAATCCAGTTGCGTATTTTCTGGAATTTTATAAACATAGTGTCTCACAAAATCGTGTACCACAGTGCCAGAGATGTCTTTGGTATCGGTCTACACAAAAGCCTCTACTGAGATATTTTCCCCAAATTACATGGAATTTTTTTTTTCACTTTTCCAGAAGACACAGAAAACTCTATCAGCCACTTACTCTTCTGAACAAACGTTAGATTACTACCATTACTCTTTTAATCATGCTCTAAAAGATTTTCCAAAAGTTTAGACATCTCTGATGCTTTTGAATTGCACACCCATAGAAGATAACTAGATAAAACAGACTAGACAATTTCAAAAGATGAATCTTGGTATCTGACTCATTTGGCACATCCTTAATTTCCAGAATAAAATCAGTAGAAATGAAATTAATACAATTTTCAAAGAATTCATACATGAGTCTTAGGACAAGGAGCTTCTGCCCATCTTACTAGTTATAGGCACTTTTCCTCATGGAGTAACTGATGCTTCCTGGTTTACTTGTGGAACTTTTGTTTGTAGGAAAGCATATACATGAGGCCAGATCTTGTTGGTTTCTGTTCCAGAGAATGTTTCCAACACCCCTTTTTTCCTAAAGATGACGAAACAAAAACAAACACAGGTCTGAGTCTTCCCAAAAAGCTTTTTCAAAATGACTCTTAAAAGATGATAATGTGGATTTAGGAGTCTCAGTAAGTTTAAGTCTGTGTGATCAAGCGAAAGGCACTTTACTGGGCATTGGAAAACCTAGATTTTAGATTTGTTTTGCCCTCTGGCTTACAGAATTATAAGAAAATAATTAGAAAATAATAGCACCTACCGTTTATTGAGCATGTGCTAAGTGCTTTAATATAACAGTTCATTTAATCCTTTCTGAAATTCAAGTTCCCTTATTTTACTGATAGAACTGTGTGTCAAGAGATGTAAAGTAACAGCCCAAATCACCAAAATGGTAGCGTGCTTCCAAACACAGGGCCTGCCAGACACCAGGACGCCCCTTAGCTTTCTGCCAGCCCATTTGCAGAACAGCTGTTTAATGCTTGATTATGCTTCCTTCTTTTCACCTAGGTTTATTTTTTCTTCTATGCTATCCTTCTAAATGTGAGGGGGATTAAAAAGTACAGTTTTTATTATTTCCTCTTGTGTTTCTCCATTTGTCCCCAGGCAGATCTGTCTGGCTTGTCACCAGACCAGCAGCCAAAGTCTATTTACTCCAGTTTCTTTGGGGTGAGATGGTGAAGAGGATCAGAATCCTGGGGTTACCTTTCAGAACAAACAGCTGCCCTCCAGAGATTCTGGCATTCCTCTTGCTTACCGTCCCCCTCTAACCCACTCATATACACAGTGGCTTAGAGGCTGCGTAAGAGCAACTGAAGAACTCTGGTTTACTGCTTTCTAAAAACAGGATCAGTTATACCTCTGCAGCCTGTTCACTAGACTTTCAGAGGTTTCACCGGGGACAAAAACATTCCTTTCCTGATACCTCATAAAATTTGCCACAGTTAAGACTAACTTAAATAATTCCCACTGTTTTCTTGGTAAGAAACATCTGCTAAACAGAGACATTATGCTAATACAGTATTCTTTGCATATTAGAAGCCCTCCTGCTTCTAAATTCACCGTCATCTTGTAAAGCTTTCAAGAGAACAAGCTTCTTAGCTACCCTAAGCCTCTTGAAGAGTCACTGTAAAATCAAGCCAATGTCACAAGTGGGTTAATTACTGAGGGCACAACTACAGGCACCTAGTCAATCCTAAAGCCATACCTTGGACGAACATTGGTCATTTTAATTTCTATGTAATAAAATGGAACCAGCTTCAACTATTGGTCCTCTAAAGAGTAAGAGCATCATGTTTTTAAACACAGACCTAATTACTCTATAAATGTTGCACAGCTGCAAGAGTTTTAAAAACAATATAACTGTCCGGGCTGGCCCCGTGGCCTAGTGGTTAGGTTCGCGCGCTCCACTGCAGGTGGCCCAGTGTTTCGTCGGTTCGAATCCTGGGCGCGGACATGGCACTGCTCGTCAGACCACGCTGAGGCAGCGTCCCACATGCCACAACTAGAGGAACCCACAACGAAGAATACACAACTATGTACCGGGGGGCTTTGGGGAGAAAAAGGAAAAAATAAAATCTTTAAAAAATATATATATATATAACTGTCAGTATTTTTAAAGAACAATGCTAACTATCTCTAAAGTTGTTGCAACTACCACCTGCAATTTTTGGTTAAGTCCAGTCCTAGTTCTATGTGTGGGAGCTTAGAAGGACAAGTTTCAATTAATGGCAAGAGGCAGCAAAAGCCAGAAGCGTTAGAAAAACTAGGGTATCGCCTAAGATAGGGACCCGGGTCATACGCTTCATCTCTGCAGCGTTCCCCACCTTCCCTTCCCACATTAGTTCCCACATAACTAATCCCCAGAGCCACTGTGCTGCCAGAGCATTCAGTGATTACCTCTATTAATAGCCTTGCAGTGTTACCAGCCCAGCAACAATGCGTTCTCCCTTCTTCTGGTTACTTTTGAGTGAATAACAAACACTTTTCGGGAAACAACCTCTTCGCCAAACTCCATGAGGTTCAGGTGGGACTGTCCCCACTTCCCAGCTTCAAGGATGGACATGTGACCTAATCAGTGCCAACTCCAGGACTTCTGCTGGCAAAGAGGCTCTCTTTCCTGCTGGGGTAGCTGAACTGGTAGGAGGTAAGCTGGAATGATGAGGGCCTCGCACAGGGAGAGCCCACCTGAGATTGAAGCAAAGATAGGCAAATGGAGTAGAGACTGACCGAGGCCTAATACACTGTTTGAACACCTGGACCTAGCCATCTACCTTTGGACCTTTTAGTTACATGACCAATAAATTTCCCTTTTGCTTAACCTAGTGTGAATTAGGTTCCTGACTGATATAATCTTGTTGTATGATAAATATTATTTACCCAGCTCTCTGCCTCATCAACATATGGAAGGTGAGAGTTTCTTGGGGCTTGGCAGGGACTGGGTCTAATTATCTGTGTGTGGACTAAGAGGTTAGCACAGTGTAAATTGTGATTTACCAGAGTAAATCATAACAGCCAAGGGGCCGGCCCAGTGGCATAGTGCTTAAGTTCGCACTCTGCTTCGGCAGCCCAGGAGTTGCAGGTTCAGATCCCAGCACAGACCTACCACCAGTAGTGAAGTCATGCTGTGTCAGCATCCCACATAAAACAGAGGAAGACTGGCACAGATGTTAGCTCAGTGACAATCTTCCTCAAGCAAAAGAGGAGTATTGGCAACAGATGTTAGTGCAGGGCCAATCTTCCTCACAAAAATAAAACAAAAAAAAACAAAAACAGCCAACACTCAGCGATTTAATAATGCCAGGGCTATTGTCAGTCTTTACATGGATTCTCAAACTTAATTCCTTTAACAACCCTATAAAGTAGGCACTATTTAATACTGCTTTGATTTTACACATGAAGAATTTGTGGCACAGAGGTTAAATACCTTGCCAAGGGCCACAGCGCTGGTAATCTGCAGAGCCAGCCTCATTACATAAATCACAAAATTATAATACCACCTATGTGGGAAGTGAATCACCAACTCCCTTGAAATTTTGCCCTCCAGAGACAACTATTAAAACGGCTTGGAGACTATTGCCGTATATTTCACTGCACACTTACTCTGTTATAACAACAACAACAATAATAGCTAATAATTATTAGCTTACTATGTGTCAGACACAATTCTAAGAGTTACACATATTAATTCATCTTTCAACCCTCTATTCTCACTCCATTTTACAGAGGAAAAACAGAAGTTAAGGCCAAGTTAATAAGTGGTGAACTAGGATTTGAACTCAGGCAGTTTGGCTCCAGAGTCTGTGCTCTAACCACAAGACTGTACTGTCCTGAGGCTGAACCATTATTCAGTAAGTGAATAAATGAACTGAAAGGGGATGCAATCTGTCCTCTAAGGAGAGGGAAAGGCTGAGTTAGGAAACTGGATCATTTCTTAGCCTGAGTCAAAAATTAATTCAGCACAGTTCCTACATCTGTTGTGGAGCATGAATTCCCTCAAGAGCAGACAAAACTATGTTAGAATAGAAGCTTTAAAAGACCTAGCCAAATAAATGATGTGAGGATTATTTGCGATTTGAGAGTCTTCTTTGCTGTAGTGTCCTCCACTGTCACAGGCCGTGGGCATGATTAAGTTTGCCTCCCCAGGATTCATTCCAGCCCTCCCTCCACCAGACAGCAGAGTTTGGGTGAGACTAAACCACTCCGAGCTGCGGGTGTAATCCCCCCATCCCAGTGCCTGGTTCAGGAATGGGCGGTAACCCAGGCCTCCAACAGGTAGAACAAGGCATTCCCTGACCACAGAGGCTGTTCAAGCTGATCCAATCTGCGTGATGCGCAGGGCTTTTGTTCACTGGGGGAAAGGTGACCCTTCAGCCCTTCATGAAAGATGATGCCCCGGCTGTTCCTGGCCCCTGTCTGCAAATATGCAGGAAGCCTGAGGACAAAGCCAACACAAAGCTGAGGACAACGGCAAAACTCCGATCAAACCTAAGGGCAACTGAAGGCCAACCTACCTTCTGGACTCCTCTGTTACACAAGCTAATACATTTCCTTTACTGTTTAAACCAATTTGAACTGGATCTTCTGGTATTTTAGCATTTCGGCTGCAAAGCATGAATAAGCAAAAACTGACTTAGTGCTTCACGAGGCAAGAGAAGTTCTACAAAGTGACAGACTCACTGGTAGTAATCCAGGACCGGCTTTGTTTGCGCCTCGTAGGCCTTCAGCCTCTTGACAACTGTCTCTGGTTTGTCATCCTCCCGCTGAACGAGAGGCTCTCCAGTCACATCATCAACACCCTAAACAGGAGTTAAAAGAGACTGGTATCAAAGATCACATTTTTGAAAGATATTTTTATAAGCAGTTCCATGATTTTTAAAGACATTTTTTCCTAAGCACCAAACATAAAAATGTGCTTTTAAATAAACGGAATCAAATTCAAACCCAGATCACCACATGACAGCACCATGAGACCCTAGGATCATCTCTACAGTATCAGTCACCTTCTCCTTAAAGATTTTCTTAGCAGCCTCAAAATAATTTCACATATACACAAAAAGATTCAGCTACATACCTGGGATCTCAACCGCAAGCCCTAAACAAACCAAGGTGTTGCTAATCCCTATTGCCCCAGCTCCCAACACACTCCCTGGCACACAGCAGGGAATCAAGAAATGCTTCTGAAGGAGTAACAAACCCCTGCTGCTCCCGGCGACACCTTTACTACCAAGCTGAGCGGACTGGACCAGTCAACTACACCAAGGAATCTAAGAACATGCCCTCCGGAGTTTTGGACCAGTGGAGGATTTCCAAGGTCTTAGAACTTATATCTGTGGACTCAAGAGGACCCAAAACAGTCTGCTACCTGGAAGGCTGTGTGAGCAACACCACAACTACTCACCAGTGTTTTGGGAGGGTTGAATTCCATGTTGTAGACTCGGCCGCTGGCTGGATGAATCCAGCGGGCAGTGAGGCGGTGCTGAATGACTTCAAAGGGCACATTCAGATTAATCACTGTGTCTATCTGATACGCTTTATCCAGGGCTTCTGCCTGTGGAAGTGTCCTTGGAAAACCTTTACAAATTAAAAAAAGGAACAAAGGAAGAAAGGGAGGGACGAGGGAAGAAGGAAGAGAATTAGGTAATTTAAGCAATGTGAACAAAAGCAGTAACGCCAGGCAGGCTGATCACAGCTGTAGGGCAACCGTGATAGTTAATTTTATGTGTCAACTTGACCAGACCATGGGGTACCCAAATATTTGGACAAATAATATTTTGGGTTTGTCTGTGAGGGTGTTTTTGGACGAGATTCGCGTTTAAATCAGTAGACTGAGTAGAGCAGATTGTTCTCCCTAATGTGGGTGGGCCTCATCTAATCCATTGAAGGCCTGGACAGAACAAAAGAGCTGCCGCTCCCTGCCAAATAAAGGGGGATTCCTCCTGCCCGACTGGCTTTGTCTTCAGACTCAAACTGAAACATCTGCTCTTCCTGGGTCTCGAGCCTATTGGCCTTAAGATTGGAACTACACCACCCATCAATTCTCCAAATCTCCCGTTTGTCAACTCACCCTGAAGATCTTGGGACGTGTTGGCCTCCATAATCATGTGAGCCAATTCCTTACAATAAATACCTCTTTCTCTCTCTCTAGAAACTAAAAATCAACTTATCTGGGGCGGGCCCTGTGGCCGAGTGGTTAAGTTCGCGCACTCGGCTTCGGTGGCCCAGGGTTTCGCCAGTTCGAATCATGGGCACGGACATGGCACTGCTCACCAAGCCATGCTGAGGTGGCATCCCACATGCCACAACTATAAGGACCACAACTAAAAGTACACAACTATGTACCAGGGGGCTTTGGGAGAAAAAGGAAAAATAAAATCTTAAAAAAAAAAATCGGGGCTGGCCCCGGTGGCCGAGTGGTTAAGTTCGCGCGCTCCGCTGCAGGCAGCCCAGTGTTTCGTTGGTTCGAATCCTGGGCACGGACATGGCACTGCTCATCAAACCACGCTGACGCAGCATCCCACATGCAACAACTAGAAGGACCCACAACGAAGAATATACAACTATGTACCTGGGGGCTTTGGGGAGAAAAAGGAAAAAATAAAATCTTAAAAAAAAAAAAATCAACTTATCCTCAAGGATTCTGTCACACTTCTGGTTGGGGAAAGTTTATAGCTGATTGTAAGTTACCCTCCAGTCTTCCTTCTTTTGTGGTGATTCTTCCTCATCATAAAATATTCTCAAAGGAAGGGGAAGGAACTAAAGTCACATCTGAAGTGAGCTTAGAAAATGTGGCAGTCCACTTCCCTCTTTCCATTTGGATAAAGAAGCAGGCCCAGAGAGGATGACTGGCCCAAGGCCTCAGGGTGGTGACTGGCAGCCCACCATCCATGATGTCTGTCTGTACCCATGAAATGCTCATTCTCCTGCCTGCACTCATCATTTGGGGCAGCTGAAATGCTCACAACACTTCACTTACCATCCAACAGCCAGCTATGTTGGGTGAGATTTTTCAGCTCATGAAGGGCCAGCCGAGTCATGACATCATCTGGGATGAGCTTCCCTTGGTCAATGAAAGTCTTGGCTAACACACCAATTTCTACAGCAGAGGGAGGGGAAAAAAGCAAATCAGCAAGTATGTTTGTTCTATCCCATTCCGGGCCCCTAGGAAACTGGTCGCCTAAAGAAGACCTGGATAAGTACCTTCGTATGAAAATGTGCATCATCAACTTTTATGATAAAAACACAGGTTACAAAATAATCTGTGCTTATCTCAGATTCTCCATTACGTAAAAATAAATTTAAATGTATAGACAGAAAAAATAATAGAAAGCTACAGACCAATACGTTAACAGTAGTCATCTCTGTATGACAGAATTATAAGTGACTTTTGAAATGTATTTGCACTTTTCTGTATTTTCTATCAGAAAAAAAACAAAGAATAACTGAAATTATTTTCTTTTTAAATAGTAATTTGAGGGGCCATCCTCATGGCCGACGAGTTGAGTTTGTGCGCTCCGCTTCCACAGCCCAGGGTTTCGCTGGTTTGGATCCTGGGCAGGGACCTAGCACCGCTCATCAGGCCATGCTGAGGAGGCATCCCACCTAACACAACCAGAAGGACCTACAACTACAATATACAACTGTGAACTGGGGGTGCTTTGGGGAGAAGAAGAGAAAAAAAAAAAGATTGGCAACAGATGTTAGCTCAGGGCCATCTTCAAAAAAACAAAATAAGAAGAATTTGAAATAGTCATTATTTTTAATTGCCTCAGTTTAAATGCCTTCTATCATGTAACTAGAGATTTTTCTAAACCTCTAAATAGATGCTGCTGTCACAATTCAACTTTTGACCAGTTAGCACTGTGATCATATCATATTTTTATTAATAAAACATGTCATCCTTTTGCAACAGTATTTTAATTTTCTCATCATCTCTTACCAAATTTATTTATATACATTCAGAATTGTAATACCACTGTAATCTGTGTATCTATAGTTTTGTGTTCTTTTTTCACTTAGCATTATTTTGTAAATACTTTTCAGTGGTTTTATATAGTCATTTTTTGTAACTATGTAACATTCTACCAATATACATCCATGTTTGATATATAAAAATACACTCTATCAGAGCAGTACTGTTAGACACTTAAATTATTTAAATTAGTCTTAGTTTTTCCCTACCACTGCTGCTTTTATATATCTTAACACCTTTTCTCTTGTCTGTCTTTTTTTTGTCTTCTCAATTATTTCTGATGGATAAATTCCCACGAGTCAGATTAAAGGTTCAAAGTATATGACTATTTTCATAATTCTTAGTATGAATTGCCATACTGACTTCAGAACAGATTCTAAATTGTCAAATTCATGAAACTTTAAGATTTTAACACATTCACTGCATGGAAATTGGCTGCCATTGGACAGGTGTACTGCCGGGCTTTACAAACTGCATCTGAGAGAGGCCCTGGGTTCTGAGTGCTAACATTAAAACACCCTATCGGAAAGGCCCACAAACTCAGTAGATGTGTGCACCTCTCTGTCGTCAGGCTTTTGACCACTGCTTGGGGAAGCAGAGCTCAACCTCGGCAACAGTGTTTGGGAAAAACGTAAAAACTTGCAATTCTCCAGGACTGAGTCCCTAAAACTCCTCTCAGCTCTCTCTTCAGGCCACGCCCTCTTCTAAACCATCAACTAATGGTAACAAATCGATTGAGATGATGGGATTAACTGATAAAGTCCTTAATTTCATCCTATAAGAACAGCTTTAAGAAACAATGATCTGCTCTTGCCACTTCTGTTCAACATTATGCAAGAGATCGTAGCCAGGGGAGTTAGTCCAGAAAAGAAATAAAAGGCACCCAGAAAGGAAGAAGTAAAACTATCTCTATTTGCAGATAACATGATCCTGCATATAGAAAGTTCTAAGTAATCCACTAAAAACCATCAGAACTAATAAATGAGTTCAGCAAAGTTGCAGGGTACAAGATCAATACACAAAAATCAACAACGAACAATCTGAAAATAAAATTAAGAAAACAATTCCATTTACAATTGTATCAAAAAGAACAAAAAACTTAGCAATATACTTTAGAAAGTGCAAAACTGGTAATCTGTAAACTACAACATTACTGAAAAAATAAAGAAGACCTAACTAAATGGAAGACATCTCATATTCATGGATTAGAACATTTAATATTAAAATGGCAACGCTCCCTGAAAATGATCTACAGATTCAATGTAACCCTATCAAAATTCCAGCTGGTGTCTTTGCAGAAATTGACAAACTGATGGTAGAATCCATATGGAAATGCAAGGGACCCAGATTAGCCAAAACAATCTTGAAAACGAAGAACAAAGTTGGAGGGACACACATTTAGAATTTCAAAACAGCAATCAAGACACTGTGGTACTGGCATAAGGATAGATGTATACGGGGCCTGCCCTGTGGCCGAGTGGTTAAGTCTGCGCACTCCACTTTGGCGGCCCCGGGTTTTACCAGTTCGAATCCTGGGCACGGACATGGCACCACTCATCAGGCCATGCTGAAGCAGCATCCGTATGCCACAACTAGAAGGACCCACAACTAAAAATACACAACTATGTACCAGGGGGCTTTGGGGAGAAAAAGGAAAAATAAAATATTTTAAAAGAAAAGGATAGACATATAGATTAAGGGAACAGAATTGAGAGTCCAGAAATAATCCCTCACATTTACAGTCAACTGATTCTCGACAAGGACGCCGAGACAATTCAACGGGGGAAAAATAGTCTTTTCAACAAATGGTGCTGGGGTAACTGAATATCCATATACCAAAGAATAAAGTTGGACCTCTACCTCACACTGTATGTAAAAAATAACTCAATATGTATCACACACCTAGATGTAAGAGCTAAAACTACAAAACTCTTAAAATAAAACATAGGTGTAAATCCCCATGACTTTGCATTAGGCAATGGTTTCTTAGATCTGAAACCCAAAGCCGAAGCAACAAAGGGAAAAATAGACAAACTAGACTTCATTAAAATTAAAAACCTTTATGCTTCAAAGAACACATAATGAAGGTGAAAACACAATCCACTGAATGGGAGAACATTTTTGTAAATCATGTATCTGATAAGGAACTTGTATCTAGAATATCCAAAGAATTCTTACAACTCAACAATCAAAAGACAACCCATTTTTTTAGAAAATGGTCAAAGGATCTGAATATAAAAAAGCAGATATACAAATGGCTAATAAGCACATGAAAAGATGTTCCACACCATTAGATATCTGGGAAATACAAATAGAAACCACAATAAGATACCACTTCACACTCAACTAGGATGGCTATAATCAAAAAGACAGAGAATAACAAGTATTGGCAAGAATGTTGAGAAATTGAAACTCTCATATATTGCTCGTAGGATTATATACGGTATAACCAATTTGGAAAACAGTGTGCCAGTTTTTCAAGAGGTTAAACTGAGTTACCATAGGACTGAGCAATTCCACTCCTAGGTATATACCCAAGAGAAATAAAAACATGTCCACACAAAAACTTACACATGAATGTTCACAGCAACATTATTCACAATAGCCAAAAAGGAGAAACAACCCAAATGTCCATCAAGTGATGAATGGGTAAATAAAATGTGGTATATCCATACAAAATTATATTATTCAGCCTTAAAAAGAAATGAAGTACTGACACATGTTGCAAAGTGTATGAACTTGAAAACATCATGCTAAGTAAAAGAAGCCAGACACAAAAGACCACATATTGGATCATTCCATTTACATGAAATATCCAGAATAGGCAAATTTATAGATAGAGAAGGAAGATTAGTGGTTGCCTAGGGCTGGGAGCACTGAGGAAAAATGGGGAGTGACTGCTAGTGGAAATAGTGTTTCTTTTGGCGGTGATAAAAATGTTCTAAAACTGTGGTGATAGCTGCACAACTCTTGAATGTACTAAAACCCATTGAATTGTAAACCTTAATTGGGTAAATTATATGGTATGTGAATTACATCTCAATAAAGCTGGTGGAAAAAAAATGGGCAACCCGCATGGAAAGTAATATTGTTAAAGGTACAGAACAGTATGTACAGTTTGCTACCACTTATGTAAAAAAGAAAAAAAAGAAACAGAGGGAAGAAGAGGTAAACATTTGGTTGTGTATACATGAAATATCTCTGGAAGGATCTTTTCACTAACTGTCCTTTTATATTGTTTGGAATTCCAAATCATGTAAATGTCTTGCCTATTACAAATTGAATTTTTTACCATTACAAAAATAAGCTGCTCTACTGTCAATATCATTCTAGTTAGCCCTATTTATGCTGCACGGGTGTACATAATTAAAGTTTTGTTGGATAGACAGAATCTTGGGAGCTGACTGAGGCTTTGAAGATTATCTACTGAGTTCAATCCCCCAAACTCATAGAGAACAAATGAGATCAAAAGGGTTAGGCATGTAGTTCAGGGTTATGTGTTCAAGAAGCACTGAGCTGCAGGGTAGTTTCTCAAACTTTGGGCAATCATATGGAAACCTTACAGTTTCTGCCATAGCTGAACTATTATTTACTATATACTTTTCTTTAAAGCGACTCAGCTTTCTAAATAAACTATAATGTTTATGAAATTAAAGGTTTGGTATGCTAGTTAGTGTTTTTTAAATACACTTTAAAATAGATTAAAAAAATTCTCTACCTAAAATTATCTCATGAACTTCAACTTGGGAAATACTGTATAATAAAAGGCAAATTTAATTGGCACACAAGGACACCTGGGTTTTCAGCCTTCTCTCCTAGTTTCCTCATCTTTAAATGAAAGGGGTGGACTAATGGCTAAGGGTCAGACTCAAGTTTCCTGCCTCCAGGGTCCAGTGATGGTCTTCAAGGAATCCAGGTTTGCAACTGTCAACAGGTAGCTTTGTGTTTCCAGTGTCCTTATCATATCTGCTGAGATGATTTTAAACTTTAGCTATAAAATACAGCCATGGGTTATAAAACATGGCACACTCATGAAATGGTGGTTGGACAGTAAACTGGCACCATCCTTCTACAGCACTATTTGATGGTATCACTATTTATAGAAATTCTACACGAGGGAGTTTATTTGAAGGAAATAAGCAGAGATGCTGCCAAATGTTCATGTATAAGGATAGTCATAATGGTATTGATTATAGCAAAAAATGGTTAACATAAATGTTCAATTAATAGGAAGACATTTAAATTAATAATTGTGCAATTGATGAAATTAAATATCATTTTAAAACTGCTTACACTATATGAGGGAAAAAAGGTATCTAAGCCATCATTTAGAATATAAGAATTTTGCAAATACATACAGAGAAAAAAAGGATATAAGAGAAAGCACTAAAGGGTCAATTATAATTGTCTCTGTGTAGTGGAAGTATACAGGATTTTAATTCCTTTTTTTATATTCTCATGACATGTTTTCTTCCTTTTTAATAAACATAGTTCACTTTTAGTATCAAAAAATATTAAGCAGTATTTTTTTAAGATTTTTTATTTTTCCTTTCTCTTCCCAAAGGCTCCCGGTACATAGTTGTATATTCTTAGTTGTGGGTCCTTCTAGTTGTAGCATGTGGGATGCCGCCTCAATATGGTTTGATGAGTGGTACCATGTCTGCGTCTAGGATCCCAACCAGCCAAACCCTGGGCCTCCGATGCGGAGCACTCGAACTTAACCACTCGGCCACAGGGCCGGCCCCAAGCCGTATTTTTTAAACAAAAGATTACACCCCTGTTTTGGCTCTGCTCCTGTGGGAAATATCCAATCCGTTCACAAATACTTATTGAGAATATATACATAGTCCTGAGATACAGAACATCTGTAATAACAATCTCAAGACACCTCCCTAAACTCCGTTTTCTGTTTTCCTTGCTAAAGAATTGCCCACAAAACTCCAGAATGAGCAAGGCCTGAGGCAAGCTGAACTTCTTTCCCAGCAATCCCCTCCTCCCTCCCTCCCTCTAGGCTCTTTTCATTTTGTGGAGCCAGAAACAGGGCAGCAGGCATGTCACGAGATGTTAAGCATAAACAAAGAGTTCCATTCCTTAATTTAAAAAAAACTTCACTTGTCTTTAAATTTAATTTTTAAAAATGTTCTGTTTCCCAAAATTAACGTATCCTTAACTCTTCACTCAAGGTGTTCTATAACCACACAGTTGTGCCTCACTGCTCAGTTATTTTTCAGAGAATCCCTTTAGGATTCTTCACTCCCTTCCACTTTGGATAACCTTACCCCAGCTGGGTGCTGGGTAAAAACAGTCCTGGAGACTGTTTTCATTACTTAACTACTTCAATATGTTGCAAAGAACACTCAGCAAGTGAGCCAAACAATTAACCTTTTGAAGAAGTTTAATTAACTACAAAATAGTTATATGACTTTTTTAAAGATCAATGTTAGAAGAGAAAAATAAAAGTAGTAATTCACCAGACTAGGTGCTGAACAGAACTCCAAGAAACAAACTGAAAACACTGGGGTGATTCTTTTATTCATTAAATGTCAAGTATTTTGAAACAAACAAACAAAACAATCCCATGTAGAAATAACCTCTATGTCCACCAATTGGGGATCGGCTAAAAAAAAAATCATAGTAGATTCAGCAGATAGATGCCTATACAAACATTAAAAAAGTGAAATGGATTTCTATGTTATCATGTGGAAAGATATCCCAGATATAAAGTGAGAACACATTGATGCAGAATACATACATATTATGATTGCATATTGCTTAATATAAGGGATATACATATATGTGCTTGTGCATAAATACATATTTCTAAACGGAAACACATGGCACTGTTACCCTCTGAAGAATGTAAGGCTTTTTTACTTTTCATTTTATGTACTTCCGTTCTGTTTCCAATCTTTTTTTACCTTGTGCAGGAATTACTTCTCTAATTTCTTAAAAGGAGTTTCAAAATGAGTTGTTTTGTAAAACAAAGGTCAACACTTTTGAGAAAATGAAACTCGCCTTGTTGACTTTTTGAAAACAGCTTTCTTAAGATATAATTTACATAACATAAAATCCACCCATTGTAAAGTGTACAGTTTGTTGACTGGATTTTGTGCTGAGTTATAAGAATTTATTTGGCAAAAGAAAACAATCTTCCAAATGACCACGCCCCAGAATAGCTTTCGGGTCTAAGAAACCTCTGGGGATATCAAAGAGCTAAGCCAACTTTGTGCCTGCAACGAGGGTAAATAATATTCGACCTTCAGATATGGGGGAAAGGTCAGAACCAGAAAATCCAATAGAGTTTAAAAAAAAAAAAAAAGTAAAGAGCGAGCGAGCACACAGTTCTCCAGGCTCAAGGGCACGTGGAGAATAAGCCGGAGCGCGATGGACCCTCAGGGGCACCTGCGACTGGGGCCGGACATGCCTCTCAAGAGCCAAGTGGTGTCCTTTAATCTTTGAACTTCCAACTTGTCCTAACTTCCTAGTTATTTCCCCCAATAACCCGCCTGAAGCTGTCCACCAGGCCAGAGGTTTCGGGGAACAGTAGCTCAGTAACCCGGGGTCTCTCCCCGGGCGGCGAAGACAGATGCTGCGCCCGACTCCCGGGACCCGCATCCGGGGACCGGCATCCGCCGCCCCGGCCTCTCCGCCCGCATTCCTGCCCCGGGATACAGCGCCCGGCCACCCCTCCGCGTGCTCCCACCTGTGCCCCGAAGCATGTTGTCTCGGAGCAGGTCCCCGCTCGAGAGGTGCTTCAGCTCGAAGTGTTGGGTGATGCGCGACGACACGGTGCCCTTGCCCGAGCCCGGCGCCCCCATGATCACTGCGCGCAGTAGGCGCGCGGACGCCCCCATGGCCGCAGGGAGAGGCCCGGACCGCGCGGGCAGAGGGCCTCGGGCCTGGCTGCGCGCTCCCCCGCTCCCCCACCCGGAGCCGGCCGGTCGGCAGCGCTGCGAACAGACGGCTGCCGCGGCGCCCGGGCGCTCCCGGAAGTGAGGCGACGGTCACCGGGGCCGCCCCGCCCGCGCCCGCCCCCGCCCCCGCCCCCCGGCCGCCCGGGCGCCCCCTCCCCCGTGCCCGGCCCTGCCAGGCCCGTGCAAGCCGCGTCCCCTCGGCGACCCCGCGCCCTATCAGTCCCGGCCGGATAGACTGCGCCCCTCCGTGCCCCTCCCAACCCTTGCGCCCTTCTTGCCACCACCTGTGCCCCACCGCTCTCCTGGGTCACCAGACGCTCCCCTCCTGCTCCCCCCAGCCCGCATTTGCCTCCCCTCCCTTCCGCCTTCCCCTCCTGGGCTGCAGAGCGACCTCTCCTCCTCCTCCCTTGCTTTCACGCTGTTTTTTAAGGCATGTTTATCTGTGTAGAATGACTGGGGGTGACGATGAGCCGAAAGGGCCTTCTTCCTCATTTCACTGGAGAGGAAACCCCGTTGAAATCAAGTGAGGTGCTCTAACTCACACATCTGTTGAGGGGTGTCTCTTACCTCCCGGGATCACGCTTTCAGATTCAAAAGTTCTTTTTGCTCAGCAGAGCCTAAAAGTACTGACTGCTCCTCGGGCTCCGTTCTTTCCCTTCGGCAATGCATTGATTCCATAGATCTCTACTGTGTGCCGCATACTGTTCCAAGGGACCTCTGAATGCTGCGGTGAATAAGACAAAATTTCCGCTCCTTGGAGTTTAAAGTCTAGTGATAGGGGCAGATCATAACAAGGGAACGAATAAATGAGCAAGATAATTTTAGATACTAATGTGAGCAAAATAAAATAGAACGTGCACAGGTGTGGAAGGACGCTGTCTGGGATTAGGTGGTCAGTCAAGCTTTGATGAAATGGCATTTCCTCAATACTGAATGAGAAGATGGAAGGAGAAGGACACAGGCAAGGTGGAAAGGCCCTAAAACTGAGTGCTTGGCATGTTCCAGGAATAGAAACACAAGACAAACATTTAGTACCTATTTCCTCTGTGAAACGGTCATGAAAGATTAGTATAGAGTTGTTAATGTGTGTAAAGTATAATGCCAGCTATAGGATAAGTGCTCAATGAAGATTATCCGTTATTAGTATAATTTCTTTGTGCTAGGACACTATGCTAAGGCTGAAAGAAGGCTCTGTGAAAATAAACACAGTGCCATCCTCCTCAGAAGTTGCCAAATGAGTGGCCCAAAACGGCTTTCGTTTTCAAAGATAGAAATTATTACAGAGAGGGATGGTAAGGGAGGGCTTGCTCCATGGTGAATCTAAACTGGGTGAATGGATTTAATAGGTAGACAGTGCTGTACTTACAAAGAAATTTAATAGCTCATACATATTCATTACTAAGAAAGGAAGAATGAAAACAAATAAACATTCCATTCATGTAGTTAGAAAAAGGATGTCAGAATAACACAAGGAAAGCAAGGAGGGGATTCAATAAAGAACATAAATGAACGGATCAGAAAACCTAAGAAACAGAAGTCACAAAACAATGAAAAGATCTGGACAAGCACAAATTACGAAACACTGGAAAACCCGAAGGTGTGGAGAAGGTACTTCTAATCTCCAAAGCTGGGAACATTTGAAGTTTTAGCCACAAAAGAGACCTGAAAGAAAATCCTAGGGAAATTTGACTTAGAAAAAAATGTTCAAACAAGCAAACAGAAAAATAGCTGAGGAATCATCCTGTCGTTGGGGAGGAAAAGCTGAGTGTTGTGGTTACATCAACAGGACGCACACAGCTCCAACTAACTGCAGCTTTGTTAAAGTTTGTTGATTACAAACGAGTAAGTAACTGCCAAACCGTGGGAAATCTGGCGAGTGTGCCTCACAAAGTCATGTTGCCATACCAGGTATTTGTATGGGTCAGTTCTTCACTGTTTAACTTACCTACCCCAATGGTAAAGACACTCAGTTCAAATTAATACATCCGGAAGTGTGAGTCAAGAAGAGATTTAAGTGCTTGTGTGTTGAGGCTTGCCCTGTAAGGAATCTTGAAGAGGCCAGGAGCTGAAGATGCCTGAGACAGAATACCACGTGGAGGGAGGCCCAGCTGTGTGAGCCCTTCCAGCCATTCCAGCTGAGCTGCCGGTCACAGCCACAGGAGTGAACCCACAGGTAGGTGGATTAGAGAGTGGAGAAAGGATTTTTCCGTGAGCAGCCAGAAGAATAGAATTGTCATTAACTGAAATTGGGAAGACTGTGGGAGAAACAGGTTTGGGGAGAATATTAGAGTTGTTTTGGGGTAAGTGAAGTTGGAGATACCTTTGGGAAATCCAGAGGAAGTTTATAAGGAAAGAGTTAGAGGTACAAATTTTGAGTACGTAGTAGAGGTCCAGGCTGAAGATATAAAATTTGGGAGTTGTTGGTATATTTAAATTCATGAGATAGCATAAACTCACTTAGGGAGTGAGTTTAGATGAGAGGAGGAGTAGTCTGAAATCTGAGTTCTGAGGTTCTCCAACATTTAGAGGAAGAGGAGGAAACAGTGTAGGGGGCTAAGAGGAGAGGCAAGTTAGGAAGAAAAATGGGTGAGTGTAGTGTCTTGGAAATCAATGGAATGTGTTCAAGGAGAGAGTGATTAAATGAGTCAAATTCTGCTGATAAGACTGAGAAGTGACTGAAAATTATTTCTAATTGTAAAAGAAATATGAAAAACAAAAAACTCCACAATGCTATAAAATAGATTATTTTTCATTTACAATGTATAGATGAAAAAATCTGAGGATAGTTTGCCCAAAATCCTATAGCTATTCAGCAACTGAATTAATGATTTCAAAAAATGCTAGATGAAATATAGAAAATGCTTTCTCTGAGAAGAAACTTCTGGAAGTAGAATTCAAATTGTCCAGAACACGGATATTAGGAGAAAAAGAAAGAGAAGATCTAGACAAAAGTGGGGGAACAGGACAGAGGAGGCAGAACTCAGAAAACACAGGGCCATATTTTTTTAACACTTTACAAAAGCAACAGAAGAGGGAGCCTTAGAGCTAAGAAAATTTTATGGTAACGTTCATTTGAAAGGATAAATAAGCAAGAATATCTGGGAAAGCCCTGAAAAAGAAGAAAATGAGGAGAGCCTAGCCCTACTAGTTATTAAAACATTGCAAAACCTGTATAATAAGAAGATGGTATTGGCACATGAATACATAGATCAATAAAACAGAATAGAACATCCAAAAATAAACCTAATTGCATCTGGAAATTTAATATATGATAAAGGTGGCATCTCAAATCAATGGAGGAAAAACACCTTCTTCATAAATATCGTAGGGTAAATCATATCTCGTTCTCCATACAAGATGAATTACAAATGGATCAAAGATTTAAATTTTTTTAAAGAAAACTATATGAACACTAGAAGAAAATATCAGCAGATTCCTATATATGGAAGGAATTGAGGAGACTTTTCTAAATAACTCCAAATTTAGAAACATTCAAGGAAAAGACTGAAATTTGGACTATACAAAACAACAAGAGCATCAACAAAATGTTTGCCTAGCAAAACACACCACAAGCAAAATTAAAAGACAAATTACAAACTGGGAAAAACATTTCTGACTTACAGATAAAAGATTAATTAATAATAATTAATGTGGTGTGTTCTGGAGGCGGGGGCAAGAAGGAGCCCTGATTCATAGCACTTGCCAATTCCTGTGGTGTAAATATTCCCACAATAGGAGATTTTAAGTTGTTAAGATGACATCAACTGTACCCATGTGACATCAACTGGCTCACAAAATTCCTGACAATTTAACAATCAGCAGTCATAAGCCAGCACTGGCCAACTCCAGCATACCACTGTAAATATCCCTAATATATAAAGGGCTTCAGGGGCTGGCCTGGAGGCAAAGCAGTTAAGTTTGCAAATTCTACTTCGGAGGCCTGCGGTTCACTGTTTCTGATCCCAGGTGTGGACGTATGCACCACTTCTCAAGCCATGTTGTGACAGGCATCCCACTTCTAAAAAAGTAGAGGAAGATAGGCACGGATGTTAGCTCAAGGCCAGTCTTCCTCAGCAAAAAGAGGAGGATTGGTGGCAGATGTTAGCTCAGGGCTAATCTTCCTCAAAAAATTTTTTTTAAAAAGGGCTTCAAAAGATGGAGAAAAAAAGGAAAACTACCCTGTAGAAAATAGGCAAGAGCTATAACACACAGTTCACAAGAAAATGAAATGAAAATAAAGGACCCTTAAGTATATGAAAAGATGTTCAATCATACTTAAAATAAAAGAAATGAAAATTAAACCTACAGTGAGATACTATTTCTCAACTATCAGATTGGCAAAAATCTAAAAGTTTGACAACATAATGTGTTGACAAGGTAGTCAGGTGTGTGAAATCAGAACGGGCAACCCCAAAATATGTCTCTTTGCCTTGGCTTGATTATTTTTAAGAACAAAAGACTCTGAAAGAAACTTTGTCTTTCCCTCCTAACTGCCTAAAAAAATTTAAGATAAAGGCCTGTCCCCAGGACAGGCCATCACCAAAGATAACTCTGGGTATCTGGTAGACTGGGAGGATCCTTGCTAAGCCCACTCTTATCAAAGTTCTGTTTACCAAACATTTACTTTTCCATTTCCACGTGAATTGCCTTTCTTCTCTTTGAAATCCCAAACCACTACCCTCAACACCCTCCTTTGTCTTTAGCTGAAGATGGTATTTAAGAAAAGTGCCTCTGCATTTTGGTGAGTTACTCAGTTTTCCTGGGTCTCCCTACATACACACGTTATAAAGCTTTGTTTGATTTTCTCCTTTTATTCTATCTCATATCAATTTCGTCTGTAGCCCAACCAGGAGGACTCAGGGGGTAGAGAATATGTCTTCCTCCCTTACAAAGGAAATAGGCACTTTTATAGTTTGCTGGTGGGAATGTAAAAATGGTACAATCCATGGGGAGGGAAATTTGGCAATGTTGATTAAAATAATCCATAGCCAATCTAAAATGAAAATTTGGGTGAATTTATTCTGAACTAAAATGTGAGGACCATGGCCCGGGGCCTTTCTTCCCAAAGGAAGAAAGGGCACCAAAGAAGTGA